GGGGGCAACCACAGGCACGGGGGGCAACCACAGGCACGGGGGGCACACAGGGGCACGGGGGGCACACAGGGGCACAGGGGGCACACAGGGGCACGGGGTCCAGGGTTATCCTGGGATTGCTGCAGGGGGGATGCAGAAAAATCAGGATACAAAGCGAAAAAATTCCAGTCAGAAAAGTGTTCGCTGATATTTAAAGGGAATGTGTGGGCAGAGGGAGGTAACCACAGAGTTTTACTCCAAAGCTCCCTTATCCCTCTTTCGTGTGCTAAGTTGGTTTTTAAGTGAAGAAAACAGTGTTTAATACTGGAGTTTTTGTTCTGTTTCCCTCCACAGCTGCTTATCACTGTAGCTTTTAGTCAGCCTGTCAAGCTTTACTCTATGAAACTTCAGGGTCCAGACAACGGTGAGTGAAGGGTCTGGGTGTTGGTTGGGGTGCAAATATAAGAAATTGTTATACTTTTATGTGCAAGTATAATTACTATAGTTATATACACAAATATAAGTGTTTCTTAATGTTTGATACACAAATAAAAGTATTACTGTTTGATGCACTGCAGAGAGACTCTTGGATTTAATCTGAGGTGAGAGCAACTGAGAGATGAACCTTTTTGATAGTTTATAGTTTACATCATGAAATCACGTAAAATTCATAATTGGATGTAATTTTGGGATGTAACACCCAAATGGACCCCCACCCCTCTCTTTTAACCCAGGGCAAGGGCCAAAATACATCAAGATCTTCATCAACCTGCCACGGTCGATGGATTTCGAGGAGGCAGAGCGCAGCGAGCCCACCCAGGCCCTGGAGCTGGGCCCCGAGGACATCAGGGAGGATGGGATCATCCAGCTCCGCTACGTCAAATTCCAGAACGTCAACAGTGTCACTGTGAGTGCCCTGCCCTGAGGGCACCTGGAGGGGAAACCCCCCGGGTAACTCGGGGCTGCACAAACATCGTGGCGTTGATGTTGATCCGTTCCAGTGGATGCTGAGCTGGGACTTCTTAGAATCTGCTTTGGCTTCCTCATTGTGGCCTTGGGGGGGGAAGTGGAAGCTGGGAAAATCCCAGCTGGGTGGGGTTTTAACAAACTACCAGGAAGACACCAGCATTCTATACATAATTATTTAAATTAGGAGGACAGGAGCTCCTCTGAGTGTTAGAGACCTTTATAATTGGGACAAAAATGTTGATTTGGTTAATTTTCTCGAGCACCTCATGTTTTATGTATTAAGTGAGAGATGGAGAGTTTAACTCCATTTTGTTTGGCTTTCTTTCCTGTTCAGTTGTTTGTCCAGTCCAATCATGGTGATGAAGAGACAACACGAATCACATATTTCACATTTATTGGCACTCCAGTGCAAGCCACGAACATGAACGACTTCAAACGAGTGAGTCCTGT